CACCCCCCCCCCCCCCCCCCCCCTCCAAAGCATTACATCTGTGTGCGGGAGTGCGTCTCCTAATACTAATAGTTCCTGGGTGCTCGCCGGAGACGTCTCCGGATATCTTCTGCCTCATGAGATAAGTCGAATGATGCTATTTGTGGCGCTGACACGATATCTTTGTGAGAGCGTCGAAGTTTTATGTTTTCTTGTCAGGCACGTCGCAGTAGCTTAGCCTACCACCACGCACTGTGTTCAGCATTTTTGCCTGCCAAAGGGTGCGGTCATGCTTAACGCTACCGGATCGCAAACAGGCAGGACTGCTGCTACTCCTGCTCCATACTACATGTACCATTAGCCAGATAAACAGTTAGATCTACTGTTACATTAGTACGTGTAATAATAGTTTTTCAAAATTAGTTCACCGGCCTTCGTTCGTGCGTGTTGTCAGCATGATCATGTTGTTGTTTTTTGTTTGTTTTTTGTTTGTTTGTTTTTTTGCTGTCATTGTTGTTGTTTTGTTTTTTTAAATTACGTTTTGAAGGACGATATTGGTTTTGTTTAACAAGTATCTTTTCAATTGTTGGCGTTTATCCGGTGACATATTGCGTTTGGCAGGATCTCAATAACTAGGTACATGTGTACTTGCTTCTTCCAAATGGTTACTTGCAAGCGGGATAATGTTGATATTAAATGTAGAGGTATAAAGCCAATGGATAATGTTGATAATAAATATAAAGGTATAAAGCCAACGTCGACACAATGTAGCTCATTTAGGAAACAGGCTGCTTTGACAAGGGTTTGCAAATGCAACTTGGGCAGAGAAGGGTGCGTCCGTCATCCCAGTAAACATAATATAGCCTAGAGATACTCCACAATTTCTTTTTTTAAACCAAGAAAGCAAAACAAAATAAAACAAAACAAAGCAAAACAAGTTCATCACTATGGAATCGAACTCACATCTTCTGCGAGAAGTACTGCATGCCAAGCCTAACCGTTACACCACAGACTTAGGTAACCTCAGGAAAAATTTAATAGACTGCTATTATGTGTTCAGAGACGTCTTGCTTTTCTGTCTCCGATTTTTAAAAACAAAAAGTACAGATACCGGCAGTAAGTAAAACCCATCTCTTGTTGCGCAAATATTCTGACTTGGACTTGGAGATGATGTCGCCTATTTTGCTTGGAGATAAGTAGGCCCCATTGTTCACGTACTTGAATTACATGAATGTAGAACAGGGGTCTTAGCCTTAATTGCTCCATGCTTCCTCGCCCCTCTTCAAGAGGGTCCATTTCAGTGTGGGTAGGCAGATTGTCTCCATCATCAGCTGGTTGTTTTAGTGTGTGATTGTCTCCATCATCAGCTGGTTGTTGTAGCGTCTGATTGTCTCCATCATCAGCTGGTTGTTGTAGCGTCTGATTGTCTTCATCATCAGCAGGTTGTTTTAGTGTGTGATTGTCTCCATCATCAGCTGGTTGTTGTAGCGTCTGATTGTCTCCATCATCAGCTGGTTGTTGTTTTAGCGTCTGATGGGGTCACGCAGCCTGCTCCTCCTCCAACCTTCACCAGGCTGTACTCCTTTCGCAATCACAACCTCCTTCGTGAAGGAGTCCTCTTCCCGGCTGCTGGTTAGGTGTTCGTACTGTACTGTTCACATTTATCCAATTAATACATGTAATATTGTCATCGTGGTTGAATCGGATCGAAAAAGAAAGGTTTAAAAACACATAGCCATTTTTCCACTAGTGCTGTTCACGCAGTAGGCCTACATGATTTTTTAAAAAAAACTAGAACGATACAGAAAAGATTAGCATGGCCCTTGCGCCAGAATGACAATGACACGCACATTCGTAAAATGTTCCATATATTTTTTTTCCTCGGGCTCTCGTGGTCTAGAGATACGATGTTCGCCTCTCATTCAAAATTCAAAATCAAAAGGTCCAGGATTTCAAACCTTACACCGACCAAAAAAAGAAAACAAAAGTTCTCTAAAATTTGTTCCTTTCACTCCTTTCCTGTTCTCTTGTCACGTTCTGTTATTAGTAAGCTTTCATATCACCTCCCTCCACTGCCCCCACCCCCACCCCTCACCCCTGGTCTCATCTACTTCTAGGCTCCTCCCTCCTTCACTATACAGTGCTGACTCTTACTACTTCTACTTCGGTCTTTCAGCCAAACCCCTTATTTAGGGGGCTTTCGCGCTCTATACTAGAGGTACGGTGTTCACCTCTCCTTCAATAGGCTCCAGGTTCAAAACCCAACAACGACGGGAGATTTTCTTCGTTTAAATGTCCTCCTTTCACCTCCTTTCCTGCTCTCTTAACAAGTTCTGTCGTCTGCTTTCGTTTCTACTTTCTGACCCCCCC